TGAGAGGGAACTAGAATTTAAATAACTGTGGACTAGGTGCTATCTGTCAATTGACAGGAAGCACTTACCTAGTTGGAGAGGAAGGGGTCATTCCAGAGAAATTTTTCCAGAAACTGAGATACTTAACCTGAGTCTTAGATCAGAGTACAAAGCCTACCACAAAGGAGAAATTGCATATACAACAGCGTAGGGGGGTCGCACACTGCCTGGTCAGAAGCAAGGCTCAAACAAAGACTGTTTTCAGAAGTCACAAGAGACGAGGCTAGAGAGGGAGGGAACACCATACCCTAATGCACCCTGTAGCCACAGCTGAAGTCTGGATTTTTTTTTTTTTTTTAATTAGGGCAACGGGAAAAGGCTGAAAAGTTATAAAGGGTTGTGGCCGCGTTTTTGCTTTAGAGATTTTTCGCTGATAAAAGTGCAAAAAAGAATGAAAGCAGGTCAGATAGATGAACTGAGCCTTTTTCAGATTAGGCAGTTTACAAATATTTCTCAAAAACCATAAACATAAAATAATCTGTAAAAAGAGAACAGAAGATAATATAATAAATATAACAGATAGCTTCTTTAATATACAAAGAATTCTAAAAATTTTCAGAAAAGACTAACAATGCAAAAAAATTGCCAAAAGATTTGAAATTCACAGAAATAAAAGATATGGTCAGTGAAAAAGAAAAAATGTTTAGACATTAGTATTTTAAAATGCAAACTAAACAGTTACAAGTCACTGGTTTTACCCCATCAGATTGGAAACGATGGAGTGAGCAGACACTTTCACACTGCTGTTAGTAATGAAAACTAATAAAATCTTTCTGAAAGTCATTTTACAATAGATATCAAGAGTCTCCAAAAACACGACATCCATTAATCTAGGAATTCCACTCCTTTAAGGTAATTCTAAGGTAATTCTTCATTACAGATGCAAAGATTTATACACCGAATATTCAATGTAAAGTAATTTATAACAAAAAATGGGAAACGATATAAATATTCAACAATAGTAGGACAGCTAAATATAATATAGGGTAGTCTTGCAAAGGACTACTACGTGACCCTTGAAAATAAAAAGGAGAAAACGTTTCTGGGGCACATTTCTGGGTGGCTCAGTTGGTTAAGCGTCCAACTTCAGCTCAGGTCATGATCTCATGGCTCGTGAGTTCAAGCCCCGTGTCAGGCTCTGTGCTGACATCTCAGAGCCTAGAGCCTGCTTCAGATTCTGTGTCTCTCCCTCTCTCTGCCCCTCCCCTGCTCTCTCTCTCTCTCTCTCTCTCCAATAAATAAACATTAAAATTTTTTTAAAAAACAAAGTGTTTCTACATATTAAGTATGAAAGAGTGAGACAGAATTGCTTTCACAGTATAATGCCAGTAACTTGTATGTGTATCTGCGTTTGTTTAGATGAATGAATTCTAGTTAGATAGAAAGCTAAACATTAGCAAAGGACTGAAAGAATAAAGGAAAACATATTAAATCATCAAAAATCATCATTATCTATTTAGAAGTTTTCTGTATTTAAAAATGACCTATACTATTCTAAGTTACTTTCATAATAGAAAAAAATCATAAAGGATTAATATCACAGAAACCAAACTAGAGAATCTCAATAAAGCAAATTCACTTTAAAACTTCAGGCTTTTTTAGAAGCTAGTACAATTATGGAATTTATTATCCCAAGTGGTACAGATTGAAAAAAAATAGATTTAAAATTATTTTAGTCACACTTCTGATGAAAGACTGCAACATAGCACGACTTAAGGATTTATTTCATGGTGTAAGCTTTTTCCCCTTGCAGAAAACAATTTTGGAACAGATGGGCCACTGCTCTGACTCAGCCAAGAGGAATGCCGCGTTTCCCTTCTGCATCAAGATACTGACATGTGTCACCTTGTGTGTCATAGAAAATACTAATTTCTGTGACTGGTTTAAAAAAAAAAAAAAGAATACATGCTACAGAGTCCCAAAAGCATCACTCTCATTCTTAAGGAAAAGCATACACGATGTATGACATAAACCTATTTTTTCCATCTTCTCAATTTAATGAGCAATTCAATTCTCTTGTTTATCCTTATTCACTTTGCTTCAGCAGAGTCACAGTCTCTTTAATGCTCAGGAAGGAGAATCATTTACAACTTCAGAATGGGCTACTGTGGACTACATTGCCTAATTTGGAAAAGGCTTTTCTACCTTTAAAATTGACTTGTTGTATGAGTCATTAGAAATTCTAAACTGAGCAATTCAGTTCCAACTTTAATAATTACTCAGATTCCTGGAGCACTGTTAAACAAATGCACTTTCAGCTGCTTGCTTGCTTAACTTATACAAATTCTGTAAATTATACCAGCCATGTGAGTCTACTTATTCTACACCCCAGAACGTTACCTGAAATATCAGAGAAGTTCAAATGGTCTGGGTCTGCCTTCAGGTCCAGGACAGGTTATGATGCAGTAAAACACAACATTAAAATCCCACTAATTTACAAGAAACATTCATTTCTTGTTTGCCACACAGTGACTTGAGTTCAGTTCCAGCTCTATTCTATGTCTTCATTCTGGCCTTCAGGCAAAAGAAGTAGCTCTTTTCCAGAATGTATCCTTTGCATGACTATTTGGAAGCGCAACGGCAGACCACCTGCTTGAACCTTCTGCTTAAAACCTTTTGCTTGCACCTGTGTATGGCGCAATTCACACGTATTTCATTGGCTAAAACAAATCCAATGGGCAAGGCTGATATAAATGGGACATAAAAGTATAATCCTCCTTTAAGAAGGGCAGGAAGTAACTAAAATCAATACTACAATCTACCATATCAAATATCTAAATAAAACATAAATTACAAAGCATGGATGACCTCATTAGCAAAGAACTTGAGTATATAGAGAATTGTTGAACCATTTGGCCAGCCCAAAAAGATCAGGAGAGAAGTTTGAGAAGGCCAGTCCAGGTGCAGGCAGGTTCTGAAATGAGAATCTCTAAACATATTACTATACAATTAAGTTAAACATAAACACAAATTCAGAATACTATAACACAGACTCTAATATTGGTTTCCAAGTCATTTCCCTAGTCCCCACTCACCCGTGTACTCACCCATCCAAGTATCCTGGTGGCTGACTATCATTCCAGGATCTACAGATTTTATCTGGTATCTCATTCTTTTCCCTGTTCATAGTTCATTTCTTTATTTTTAGGACTCTTATTTTCTGTCCCTAATGAAGTGATCACTCAAAATTCCACTAAGTACAAAGTATATCAAGTATATCCAGCTTTACTTGTTAAGCCAGAAATACCTTTTTGTATTGATTTGTTTGTTGTTGTTGTTATTTTGTTTTGTTTGTTTGGTTTTGGTTTTCCTTTCCATTCAGCTATTTCTCTAACAGGAGCTTCAACTGCTACAGGTATTGTCTATGACCTCAGCTTTCTTTGTCTGTGATGAGGCAAGGCACACCTTAAAATTAGTTTGGTGTGAAAATTGTTTGAAATCTGAGATAAAATATATTCCCCCATTGGGTAGCAATATCTAATTCATATTACTTCCTATGTTACAGTTTTCTATAAGCTCCCCATTTCATCTGTCCTCTCAACTCAAGTGATGTTCCTTTCAAACCCTTTCTTACCCAATGTCATGGGGGCTTTACTTACATGATAATAATGAGAGATGCTGTAATTTTGTGTATTCTTAGTATGGCACACTTCTTGCAGATTACCAGTCTTTCCCCACCCTAATCCTTCTTAAAAGGGATCTGCCTCTTTTTGAGTTTATCTCTTCACTAAAAATATCTTAATTGTTATCTTTATTTTTGTATCACTGCCGCCAGAGCCAGTAGATGCCAAGGAGTCAAAGCTTTCTAGTGCTAGAAAACCCAATCCAATCTCTCATGTGAAGATCTAGGAAAATCTGATTTTACATTGCTATTACATCTGATTGCCATTATTTCTTATGACAGTTAATACTGAATAAAATATTTTAATCAAAATCTTATGCTTGGACACATAGTCAATGTGCCTACACACACATTTCTATTACTGTCAATTAAAAGTTACTCATTTCATCATTTAGCAATTCAACTTCTCAGATATGCTGAGAGACTTCCTAACCACTAAAAGAAGTTCTGAGAGTGTTCATCTTCAATACTGAGAGTACGTGGTCCCCCCAAAGATTTGTATTAATGTGTTAGATTTATAAGAGCTTGCCTAACCCTCTTCTTCAAACACTAGCTCCTACAAAATAGTGCCTCAATCAGAAAAGCTCCTTCCACATGCATGTCTTTATCCACCCATCCAGAAATGCAGATTAAGACCAAAACTAAGAATAACCATCTCTGGCATCAAGTGGGCTGTGCTACACATACCCACTGTCCTGCTCTTTATTTTGAGATAGTTTCCAACACCCAATCTGAATTCCAGTCTTCGCCTGGTCCTTCATTTCTAGTTTGAAACATAATGCATAAATACAAAGTTGCACTTTTCATCCATGTTCTCCCTCTCAGATTGGATTTTGAGAAACACCCCAGGCTGTACAACTTGATAAATTTATTACTCCTACATGACTTGGATATTTTTCTTTCAACCTTGACCTGTCTGTTGAGATTCTAAACATTGCTGTGATCCTCCAGTTTGCCTTGAGGGCTTAGATTTTTTATGTCAGTTTCACGATCACAGCTCTGTCTAGTGATCCAACTTAAGTCCTGTTTCTGGGTCCTTGTGACCTCTTCTATCCTTGACCTACTCACATCAGTAGACATTTTCCTGAGTGATTCAGAATAACAGGATAACCACAACACTGACTGGCATTGTCAAAACAGGCTTTAGATTTATAGATCTAAGGTGTGATGTGGGGTGTGTGTGTGTGTGTGTGTGTGTGTGTGTGATTATATAATACACACCTGTTAAATAATTTGGGAGTTTTGATTTAAACTTTAGTTTTAACCTGCATTAAATATTGTTCAGATATTTTTAATGATTTTGACCCTCAAAATAAACTAATTTCTCCATTACTTTTAGATGGTCCAGTAGTCTATGCAGCATACTTAAAAATGGAGCACAGTGACGAGAATATTAAATTCTGGATGGCATGTGAAACCTATAAGAAAATTGCCTCACGGTGGAGCAGAATTTCTAGAGCAAAAAAGCTTTATAAGATTTACATCCAGCCACAGTCCCCTAGAGAGGTAACTACATGACAGTGATGGCTAATGGAAATCAGTACATTCCGGGGAAGGGCGCTAATATCTGTCAAGCACACACATGCGCCAGGCACTTTACATCCAGTACCTCCTGTTATGCTACAAAGTCAGTACTGTTAACCTTATTTTACAGGTAAGAAGCCTGAGAATCTGAGAAGTTAATTAACTTGTTCAGTGTCACATATCAATTAAGTGAAAGTTAGGATTCAAAGTTAGGTCTGTCTAGCTCCAGAGCCTCTTGTCATTAAATTATCTTTATTCCTTGGAAAATTTCTTTTAAAAAAAGAAGTCCTTGTAAGAAGAATTGACTTTCCTAGAAAGAACTACAGATACCATAAATGGGCATGTTGACAACCCCAGCAGCATTGGGAGAAGTCTGTGCCACTGCACCAAAGCTCACCGCTCACCTCAGTTCCCAACCAGTAAATCCACAAATGCTTTCGCGGAGACTGCTGCCTATCACTTACAACCGCCTACAGAAACAACATCATGAGTGGATGACACACTGAGACCCTTCCTGGTAGAGAGAGAATAAGAAATGAAAATTCTTGTCAAGGAGATAAGGGTAGGCTATGATATATGAGATTCCTATCATGCAGGAAGGTCCTACTTATCATCTTGTTCCTCAAAACTCTTGTCTGGAAAAAACTTGGTTTATTGAAATAACCACTTCTCTCCTTTCTTTCTCCACTTCTCTTCACTCTCTTCCCATTTCAGGGCATATTCAGTGATCAACATTCATGACTACTAAGATAAACTTTAAAATAGTACCAACTTCCCTTTTCCTTAAAAGAGATCTTCATCTCATAAACTTCCTTGTTTGTAGACTCCACTAACAAACCACTTGCATGTGCTTAAGTAAGCAATGGTCTCTGAGATCTCCCTGCTCTTGGGCTGTGTGTTTTTTGTTTTGTCTTGTTTTTTTTTTTAATCTGGAATATGCAGGTGGGTGTTTAGTTTTAAAAAAAGCAAAGTTTGTCTCTTATGAGTCTTTTAGATATGGATGAAACTTCAGACAAAATTACCTTATTCCACTAAAAAGAAAAAAAGGAGACTGGGGAATAAATTAAACTTTTTCCATTAGAGTTTCTGTCTTCAATTATACCTACTTATGCTGTACGTGTAATTTCACTTTTCAGATTAACATTGACAGTTCAACAAGAGAGACTATCATCAGGAATATTCAAGAACCCACTCAAACGTGTTTTGAAGAGGCTCAAAAGATAGTGTATATGCACATGGAAAGGGACTCTTATCCCAGGTTTCTAAAGTCAGAAATGTACCAGAAACTTTTGAAGACTGTTCAGCCCAACAAATCCTAACTACTATTCAAAAGTTTAAATTGAAGACGGTGTATTGGAAGTACTGGCTTTTTTTTTTTTAATTTACACACACACACACACACACACACACACACACATGAGTCAGAAGTAGAATAGGAATGAAATAGAAAAAAAACTATAAATTAATTTCTTCTAATTCTAGAAAAAGAAAAGATCCCCAAAGGGATGGGGTCTACAACAGTTATAATATGAATAACACAATTTGTGGCATGTCTATGTAGCTCAGTTAACATATAAGGAGAAGAAAGATCTTCATGACACCAATATTATAAAGTTTTTACTGTAATAGTCAACTAATGGATGTTTTCTTATTAATAAAATTTTGCTGGCATAATGCATAAATCAGTTCTTTAGAAACTGTAGCTATTTGAGTTGCCTCTATGATGAGTGTACTCTATAGATGGAATGTTTGTAACAATTGCTTAGTAGACAAACGTGGTATTTGAAGTAGTTAATGGGATAATATCATGAGTAATATTAAAAGCTGTGTTCTTGAGAGATATTTTATCTATAAAATTTTTCTACTATTATATTCATAACTGAATATTGCATCCCATTCATAACTGAGTATATCACAAATATCTTCTACATGTGAAAAATTCATGGAAATTCTAAGCTTTTAAGAATGTATAAAATTCCTCATTTATCCATATATTGATATAAAGGTAGAAAATTTGGTTTCTATATTTTAAGAATTGCCCTCACAATGTGAATTAATCATGGTCCCTGGTAATCAATAAATCCAAATATAAACAAAAAAAAAACCCTTCAAATCTATGCCTTTTTTAAAGACACAGTGAAGTTATTTTTCAAAAAAAGACTGTTTTTTAATCTTTCCTGTCATAGCAATAGCAACTTCTTAGAATTTGTCAGAAGATTCCAGAGGAAAGAACTCATATAAATTTCATTTGTTTTGTTTAGCATATATCATAGCATATAAACTTTCCATACAGGTGGATAAATATTCTGTTTTTGATGAAGAATAAAATACATAAAATATTTAATATCATTTTTCCAAAGAATTAACTATATAAAATTGTTCAAGATCTTTAGTTTTACTCTGAAAAGTGTTTCTCATGTCTCAGATTTGACTGAAATAGCATTACTATTTTAAAGTGCTTATAAACCTATGCTGTATGACATGAAAATGAATACTAAATATAATTCTTCTCAATCAGCAAAAGGTTATTATAACACAATAAATATTTGGGGGTTATTTCTCAGAAATAAAGTATTTTAAGAGATATTTTCATGAAAAAGTATACCATTAATTAATATGGATTCTAGTTAAAGTAAAAAGTGTTATCACAGTAGTCTAATTTTACATAATTCACTGAGTTTTATTTTCTGTTAAACAATACCAGTATAAGAACACAGATTGACATTTTAGATATTTGAAGTTGATGATGATCCTTAGTCATAAAAAAAAAGTTTCCACATGTTTCAAATAGTTTCATCTCACTCTCGGCAAATTAATATATTTGTGGACATATATTTAGGAAGTGTTATACATGCATGGTCATAATACACATAGTTTGAGCAGTTTCAAAAGACTTTGAGCCCTTATCATTCAAATTGTACCAAGTCAGCCACTGATATAACTAATAAATGGAATTGGAATAATCAGCCTTCTTTACTACTTATCTCTAGTGGTTTTTTATGCTCCGATACAGGATAAGCCTAAAACTTTCAGTATTGCTTATGCACTGAGTTTTCCTCCCAAACAGAGTCTCTGTTTAGGTATCCCAAGTCCTTCATCTCACATTGGGTAAACAAGGTGCCACATGGTAACATGAAACAGAAAGCTTTGGGCTGAGGTATAAAGCAACAGGATTAGTTCCTGTTCACTCACCTGATGTTGTTGTGCCTTTAGTACCAGGAGCTCTCATTTTTCTCATCTACAAAATAGAGGGGAGGGAAGACTTGATTTGACTGGGCCACACACAGTGAGTGCTTTATTATATCCCATTACTAAGGTATTCATTCCTTTTCTCTGTAACAAGCTTGGACTGATTTTGGAAAGCAATTTTTTCAAAAATCAATGTTTTTATGAGGAAGTCAGTAATAAATTATTTTGCATTTAACACTGGTTGACTGAGTTCTGAAACTTCTTACTTATGAACAGGGAATTTAAACTGCTTTCTTTTTAAGAATTCAACATAGAAGAATGTGTTTCATGTTAATAACAGTTAAAATATTTTTCAGATCATTTTAACCTAATAATGTTAAAATGAACCTTAATCTTGTTCATTTCCCTTAGGATATTTATTAAAAGAATTCAAAACTTGATGATGTATGGCTAAAAGGGTATGCCCGATAAACATATTTTTCTCTTTGTATTTGTTTTATCATAAATACTCTGAGATTAATAAGTTAAAAACATATTGTTAAATTTCTGATATCAGAACTTGGATATATTTATGATCTTCTTCTGTTTTTAGATCTACATTTTTAAACTCTGGAGATATATGAGATAAGCCTTCATTGTATCTGCATAAAAATAAAATCTTATCTTCTCCTAAGAAGATAGTGACAGATTTGTACAATTGAGATTCAAACATCTTGGCAGAGATGAACACTCTCCTATTTATAATTCATCAGTCACACCATAGTTTCATCAACTGCTAAGGACTTTTAACCAATTTTGGAAGAACGATTGTAGAAAAGAGATATGTAAAGCTTTCTCCAAAGACATAATAGGGTGTGATTTGAAGAAATCATAAGATACCACTGCCCAAAAATATCTTCCCCACATCTAGGACCTGGAATTCCATCACTGCTCATAGAAGATGAAAACGGGATTGAAATTCAAGCTGTAAGTGAAGAATGAAACACTAGTGTTGACATGTTACCTGTTGCTTAGCAGAAAATAAAGCTTGGGAAAATAGAATGTAGGCGTATAGGGTGGTAGGAAAATAGACTGAGACAAGAAAGATATCAGGGTAAGTAGAGGTCACCAGATACAAAACAAGACATGGAAATTGGGGACACAATCAGAAAGGGATTGCTTATTAAAATCTTCCTATGTTATTAGTAGAAAACCAAAGGAGAGAAGACTTAGCTTAAAAGGCAAGTATTCTAGGAGTGCCTTGGTGGCTCAGTTGGTTGAGCTTAAGACTTCAGCTCAGACTGTGATCTTGTGGTTTGTGATTTCAAGCCCCATATTGGGCTTCCTACTGTCAGCTTGGAGTCTGTGCTTGGGATCCTCTGTCCTCCCTGCCCTTGTCCCTCTCGCCCCCGATTTTGCTCATGCACTCTGTCTCTCTCAAAAATAAATATTTTTGAAAACACAGGTATTCTAAAATGCATACATTTTTGTAGAAAAAATTAATAGCATTTCTATAGAAATAAAAGAGCAAGTATTAAATTCCTCATCAAACAGTATTTATAGAAGCATTCTTTTAACAAAACTTTACCTAGCTCCTGCTGAGTACAGATATTGTACCTACAAACATTAATTAGGTGAGGCTTCTGCTATCAAGGATGTGAGCTGATAAGTAAAAGGCCAAATAATAATACAAAACAATAATGGCCAAGGTTGACCTGTGTGCGGAGTGCAGTGGAGTCCCAGCAGAAGCATCTACCTCTACCTCGCAGAGTCTGACAGGAAAAGCAGAGGTGATATTTAAGATGACTCTTGAAGAATAATTGAGTGATCACTCAGAGGAAAGGGGAAAACAGAGTGGATTGGAGCACGGGCCAAAAAGGGGAAATTGTGGTAATTAAGAAGATTTTACAAATGGTTGGAGGCTCTCAAATCAGCGCAATTTAAGCCTAAATCCTGGCTCTACCACGTAGCAATTGTTAAGAATTTAAGGAAACCGTTTAACCTCTCAGAACCTTGTTTTTTCTTCATCTGTTAAATGATAATAGCAATAACATGAATAACAGCTACCTTGTAGGCTTTTACACATGCATTTAAAGTCCTGAGAGTGTGTTTAATAAAATTTAACCATTTTATTCGTTACTGTAAAAGTTCAAATTGAGACAATGATAGGCTAAGTTAGGCAAGTGAGGAAAAGCAAGGGAGAAATAGTGAGCTGACTGGACACAGGAAATGATCAAACTTGATCCAGAGTTTCTAATCCGAGCACTGGGGTAAGTACAGATGCCATTAGGCTGAAAAAAAAAAAAAAGCAGCTCAGAAGGATGAGGTGGATTGGGAAACAGGGTGAGTCTGAGATGCCTACATGCCAAAAGTGGGATTCCAGAGCAGAAATGTAGAACTGGAAACTGTTAGCATGGCTGACTCAATGACCAGAGGAGATTTTATAGTGAAACCGTGCAGGACAGAGAGGAGAAACCCAAAGAAACCTTAAGGAACAAGATAACATATTAATAACTCTTAAATTCTCATGGAAGCTCATCACAATATTTATAGTAATAATAATGATTCTTTATTGAGTTTTACTATCTAGTGGATACTGTACTAAATATTTGCATGTTATTCACACATACAATAAACAGTTAGTGAGCATTTACCATATACCAGAGATAGAGAGTCACCAACAAACCAAGCAGAAAATGTGTCTGCCCTCAAGGGGCTTACATTGTCTTTATGTAATAAAATAGTAATACTATAAAATCATATCAGATTATGAGAAATTCTAGGGAAAAAAAGACAAGATAGTAGGATAGAGGGTAGTGAGGTGAGAGGGGTGGGGATGCTTTGGAGAAAGTAGTCAAGGGATCCTCCCTACATAACTGATATGCTTCTCCCTCCTGACAATGTTAATCTTTGGAATCTGAGGTTTTGAGAAGTTAATTTTTTCAGTACCTTTCACTAGAACCACGATTTTTCTAACTCTAATGACTTAATCATTATAAGCACAACCTCTCACAAATAAGCCACATGGAAAGTAAGTGTATAGTGACCTAATATATAAAAAAATGCTGTCACCATATAGGCAATTTTACTATGGAAGATCACTATTAAAACTATCTCTAGTTACTGCTAATAAACTCATGAGAATGGTGTA